TTTATATGTTAAATTTTAAAAAGTCTTTATAAATTTATTTGACGCTGCTGTCACAAATTGGTACGCTTATTATATTATAGTATTTATCCCTTGTTTATTTTAGTTTGATCAGCTGGCAAAGATAATACTGATGGTTATTACTTATTACTATTAATGTAACTAATAAGAAATGAACTAAAATAATAGTTAAAACTTATCAAAACTTTGCATATTTGTAATCTATGGAAAATAATAAATAATTGGGATTTCGTGGTCTGACTTCTCAACGGTGACTGTAAGATGTATATTAATTGCATTCATAATTGGAAATAGTTAAATTTAGGCCAATATAAAAACTGAAAGTAATAGGCATGGGACAAAGTATAAGGAGAACAATAACAGAAAATTTAAGATATTTTATTATAACTTATCGTTAACCAATATTGAGGAAAATCGCAACTTCGTAACAATACTTAAAGTTCATCAAATATCAAGCGACATTAGAGTAAATACGAAATTATTCTAAGACGTTGTTTGCAAGTGTTCAAATATACAAAAGATTTCGCCTAAAATGTAGAAAGGATTTAGTTAATATTTTATGTTAGTAATCCAGCCATTTCTCTTTATAATATAAGTATAATACTATAGTAGATATATAATAGATTCATCAATATCAGAAGTAATCATTCTGGAGATTGTCCTTCTTCGTATCTTTGTAATTAATCACTGTTGTAATGAAGGAATCTAGCAACCAACCTCAACAAAAGTAATGGAACAATATTTTCTGAGCATTTTTATTGTCATTTTGTCTAGTCCATCGCTTCGCACACTCGACATATTATTACCGATACATCTGGTAGATGTTTTGAAATGTAGAATAATTTATTAAATATAAGACTTACTTTACTAAACATCCTTGTAGTAACGATCCGAAATTATGTTAGACTTTGCATCAAATTATTGCTATTTTCTACCAGAGGTATTAGTGGGTAAATAGTTTATTTAAAAGATACCCGTGTGAGTCCAGGGCTTACCGATAGTAAGGGTAAATAAATGTAGCAAATAAAGGAATTATTTCTGCTAGAAATACTTTCCAGTACAAATATTGTGACATCAATCAGTGTCGCAATATCGTATTAAGACACGCAAGCACCTGCCCTTTCCCCGATCAATCACAAAATTACAAGTTAATATCCACATTTGTCTCTATTCATTATGAAGAAAGTCTTTTATTTTTTAGGCTAAACAAAAACTGGTGTGTCAAAAATGTCCACATACTGTTTAATTTGAAAAGAGAAGCAATCAAGCAAGCATCTAAACCGTAATTTAATTTGAAGTAATTAAAAAAAAAATAAATTTTTTGTTAAATATTTAAAGTCTTTAAAGTTAAATCTTTATCCAATTACATTTCCGAAAAGTTCAGGTATTATGATCGCGGTGGATTTTTTTTCGGTGTTAATTTAGTAAACATTGACGATTAGACGTACATGCGAGAGTGTAAGATCCTTATTCTATTACTTATCGATATTTTCTGTGTCATACTAAAAACAGTCGTCAAGTATTGTCCTGTATATGTTAAGTTGTTTGTCGACGCTTTCAAAACAACGCGCAAGCTCAGACGTAAATGATGTGAGCATCGCGTACTTTTATTCAGATAATAATGAACATCATAGAGGTAATACAAATGTAATTAAAAAACTAAGGGTTTGATAAATAAATTTTTCATTCTGACAATTTAGAAAATCGTATCCGACTTTTCTTTAACTAATTATTTATCGCTTCAATATATATATTTATGAGTTATTTTTACTTTAGTGAAGTTTTAAGTCAATAAATGTAGCTACATCGCATTATAAGAACTATTTATTTAAATAACGGCGTTAAAATTATTGTGAAAATTAAAAAACTAACGGATTCACATAGAGAAATCCATTCGTTAGAAAACCCTGTAATTTCCTACGAACTGAGGACTTCGAAAGGAATGAAGAGTAATGAAATACGTAATATATAGTGCACATGCCAAAAGGCAATCTCTCATTGAAGCAATTTCTATACAATATTGTGTTGCCCATTTCAAAGACACCCGAGATAGATCTGAGACTACCTCCACTAAATTATGCATCGAAACTTAGTAGTACCGTATGATTTTGAAGGCAGTTCTATTCGCATTTCAATGTATGGCTTGAACAATTTGTCCGGTTGAATGACACTTGAATATTGCATTCGGTTCGCTACCGTGTCTAACCAATCTGCGTATGTAAATATAGACTAAGGATAGAGCTTTAAATTACGCTGAGCTACAAATCACATGGAATTGAACCACAGATTAAATTTATAAAAAGAAAAAATACAAAATTAATTCTTATGTATATATACTGTGAATAATCAATGGATAATATTGAAAATTTTACTATTACACACTTAAAGACAATGCATTCTTATATCTGAAAATGTAGGCGTAAAGTTAACGTATATCTTAATATATATAAATTACGTGTCACGTTGTTTGTCCGCTATGGACTCCTAAACTACCGAAAATATATCAATCAAATATGCACACCGTGTGCAGTTTGATCTAACTTAAAAGATAGGATAGCTTACATCTCAATTTATACCCGCAATATTATTTTATTTGCAAATTATTTGATAGTCACAATTCTAACAGATCGCGCTGTGTTCAAAGTACCAACGTTTCACATAAGCTACAATTTAATGACATTACCACCAAAAAAGCATGGTGGTCCCCATGACTGGTGTTCTCCTATGTTTCCCTTGAATAGTTTACTACTATGTAATATAACAAAAACCTTAGCCACAGCAACGCTTGGCCGATCTGCTAGTATAATATTATATACAAAAGTGCATAGTTGATTCCTTTTTGTGTTAATATAAAAAAAACTTACTATATTCAACTTTGAAATTATAGTTATAGACATAAATGGTCAGCCTTCAAAAAATTTAAGAAACAAGCCGTACGAGTTAAAGAGAAACAGGCCGGTTAGGCCTTCAAAAGAATGCTACGCTATGGCAATCGGTTTATTACCTTCCCTAGTGGGAATGTAAATCTGTGTGATGCTTTCATGGAAAGTGTTAAATTTTTTTAATGCACGGTGCTTTTTTAATACGGGGAGTTCTTAGATCATAAGTTTTGACATACTGACGTACTATAACTTACGATAATTTAACTATTTTTAATTATATTTTGAAATTGCTAATTTGGCTTGGCTGATTGTGCGGTTTTCTGTAATTAATTTATATTGTGTACCACTTTCTTTGCAAATAATGGTACACGTTGCTCACAACCTAATAAAGCACTCAATGGTAAACAATATTTAATTAACAGCCAGTGTCGACCCAAAAAAGAATCGGGTCGGACCGACACGTAAGACAATAAGATGTTTTTGCTTATTCAGGCTCTACTTAACACACCGGCCCGTCTTTTTCACCCTTAATTAGGAATGCCATTTTTATTTGCAACTACGTACTGCATAAAAAAATATTTAATCTAATAGACACGCTTGCATTTGACATCAAATAAATAAGTTCTTATTTAACGTACGCCCCAATGCAAGTACGCCTTATATCTAGTCTGGCTAACTCTAAAAGAACATAAGTTACGTAAACTTGTATACATTCTTAAATTAATTTTAAATTTTTACTATAACGTGCCTTTTCATATTTTGAAAGACAATTTAAATGAAATCGAAAATTTTCTATTATTTTGGCTAAAGTTAATAGTTACAATGACTATACTTAATATTCAAGCTGTAGCATATAGCTATGCTGTAGATATATTTTCATAAAACTGCTTGACATAGGTGTCGTATAGGCATTATACTATTTATATTTCTTCATGAAGCTTGTTCCATTATCTTCAATTGGTTGGCTGGGTTTAGGCCCGAATCGTCAACACAACAACACAATAATCTTATTAAAACTCTTACACCGTCTGATTTTAATAATCATTTTCATGAATTCTCATTAAAATCTTCATTTAATGCGTTTCCGAGCACTGCCATAACGTTGGGGTAATTAAGCCCGCAAAAGATCGTTACGAAGATTGAAATCGGTCGTATGGATGACGAAACATTTTATGACCCCATGTTGGCTGAAGTTTTTAATTTACTTAAAACCATATTGTCTAGTTAACATATGTATAAAACTACGTATATATGTTCTATTTGGCTGATAAGAAGGTGAAATATACCGATCATTTTACATCATTAGCTTTAGAGTACGGTACATACTTAATCTTGAATAAATTAAAAAAAAGTACGATTATTCCTCATGTTGTATCTGATGTAAGGTTATATGTATATGGTTAGGTGTATAAAGAATTTTAAATCAGCAACTTGGGATATTCGTTTTCCAGGTCCCAAACTCTGCCCGATTAAAATGTATAATGTAAAATGTGTATCAGTTATCTAAAGCGGTTAAATTGAAGCTAGAAGGAACCAATTACCAAATCAGGTGTTAATTTCTCCAGGAACTGACTAATTAGTAAGAAAGTTTAATTCATTAGAAAGTTAACCCCGCTTTAAGTTTATCTTCACCTCCTTAATTACTTAGCAACCATTAAATAGGAAGAGCGGATATAGACAACTTAAATGTTGAAACCGATTTTGGTTGTTACCTTTGGAAATACGCTTTTATGGCAATTAAAGAGACTAGAGAGATATAGAGATTTATATTATTGTTCTGATCGTTATTTAAAAACTAAGTTTAACGATTCGTTTGTATATAATAAAGTATAGACAATATTTGCATGCATTATTTCAAACTACCAAATAAAAATTATAAAATAAATCAAATTACTTGTTAACGAAAATTATCTCCACAGGTCATCGAGCATGAAACAATAACGGAGCCGCTGCGATAGCACTTCCTGAGCAGCTGTTGATAGCCATTATGTCTTATCAAAGACAGAAGGTCTGGCCTTATCAGTCGTGGACGAAACCCGCTCGCGTCCCGACCTAAACACCACATGACAAGCGCGAGAATACGATGAGTAATCTCTTAAAATGGGTGATTTGTTTCCGAGTATACAGAGGAGTACGCTGGCCAGTGACGTAGACGGCGATAATTGGAGTGTTCCTGGCCTTGATGAGTACAGCACTGATGAAGAGTTGGCTTCCGTGGAACTATTCAAGGACTATCCGGAAGGACTGCTGCGCTTTGCATCAGTATGCTGCGTTTTATTCATGCTTGTGGGAATCCCCGGCAATTTCATCACTATCGTGGCGTTGGCGCGCTGTAAAAAAGTAAGAAAATTCGTTTACATTTAACACATATTTGCGTTTTTACAAATAATAGAAATAAAACACTATTTTGACCGGATTGAAGTTATGTATTATTATAAACCGGTCACCGTGACCACGCACGCTGTAAAGCACGCGAAACGTCGGATAAATTTAAAATTATGTTAAAGAGTTGTAAATTTATAATAATACATAACTTCAATCCGGTCAAAATAGTGTTTTTTTAAATGAATAAAAGTTATGTTAATCAAAGACAATACTAAATAATAGAAAGTATTTTGTCTGTTAAATCTCGTTCAGTGTTACACTCGTTGCTAGGATTTGATCGAAAATTTCCTTTTTTCCGTATACGTTGTGTTTTTAATAAAAAATACAATATTTTCGTAAAATTAAAAATTAATTACCCACATTTTCATTCGAAAATTAAATAGATTTGTGTAATTACAAAAGTTGTGCTATCCCTAATTCAAGGGTCTTCGTTTCCCGCAGCATATTTTATAGGTGTAAATCTGAGCAGAAATTGAAAAACCCTTCATTTCTGAACACGCATTGAATTAGATAAAAAAGTAATCTATCGAGCTCAAATACTTTATGAAACCGAACACACATTCATTTTGTTAATTTAATCGTCCAAAACTACTTTTTGCCTTTGAGGAGTTCAAATATTTTATTTTCTATACCAAAAATAAATTGGAGCAATACAAAAACTTCACATGGATATCGAAGCATTACTAGACATTTATATAATCTATCTGAAATAGTTTTTACAATAGTCATTGTTCTTTCGCTTCTTTAAAAGATATATCGTATATTGAAACGACAAAACTATGATTGTCTTTATAGTGTTTCGCACACAATAAATGTACGGCGAATGCTATCCAGAAATTGCATGAATAAACCAGTGCATTTAAAAAGGCCGAACTTGCTCCGGAAAATGTTAAGCACGTATAAACACGTGTAACTCCATCTAAAAATGTACCTGACTTCACGAAAGATTCCATAATATAGAAATTAACTTTAGCAGAAATGGAAAAGTACAAATAAAAATAAGTCTGATTTTTTTTCTAAATTAAACATAACGTTGTGGAAATAGATACATTATCATTAGGTGCGCTTAGTAATTACTGGGATACGGAAGAGCAAACGAGATAAAATTCAATTGTTTGTTATTCATGTTTAAGATAATGGTCAGTGTATAAACATAGGAATCGGAAAATAATTTACTGCGAAGATAACGAGGCCGCTTACATAACCGGAACTATTAAAATATAAAAGTTTCGAGACGGTTTTTATAAATAAATCGTTAAAAGCGAAGTCCTAAATATTTTTATTTCTTTTTATACTGATTTATTATAGAACAATATGATTTCCTTCGCCGTAAATATTATTTGATAAAGCAAGAGAAAATACGGGAAGCTCATGCACCGGGTGTGCCGAGTGCCAACTGAAATTCAATATTGCCAGCCCTTCTTTGAAAATATAAAGGTCTACCCGATGTGAAATAATGTAATGTGAAAATATTTCCTCCGTTTTTAACCTTCCGTCCCCTTCCGATTCTATCTCATATTTTAAATTAGGAAAATTTTGATATCTCTTTATATATAAAATTCTCGTGTCACAATGTTCGTTCCCATACTCCTCTTAAACAACTCGACCGATTCTTATGAAATTTTTTGTGCATATTCAGTAAGTCTGAGAATCGGCTACTCTATCTTTCAAACCCCTAAGTAATTATGGGTGTCCACCCCAAAGAGCTTTTTTTTATTTTTTAGAAATTTTTTCACACCTCTACGATCAACCCCTATTTTTTATTATAGTAGATAGTTATTTTTATTGAACTAAAAAAGATTTCCTAGAATAATATATACATGGCAAAACATCGTTAGTCGGGTCAGCTAGTACGTATATACATTTCGAACACCGTATGTCTATATATTTATATCCTTATGGATACATATTATCAGTTTACTGTTTGATCCACTAAGTACATAATCTTATTGTTAAAACCAATTCTTCTGAGCGGCAGAAAATATCGTACAATTGGAAAAACAATTACGTCCATATTATTTGATTTACCTCAAGCACGAATCTTGCTTGATGAGGTATACAAATGTTTATTACAGTGAAGCGTAACTTTACTGTAAGCGGTCAAATCAGGCTTCTATTTAGAATCGTGACATTGCTTGAATATTAAATGTTGCTGTGCCTTTCACGAAGAGGGCTCGATAAAGTTTTGATCGGCTGTCGCATCGTTGCTCTATCGTCGTGTCATTTTCATCACGATGTGTGATAAATATTAGTCTATCTAATATGGACTTAGTATAAATGGTCAATGTTATTGTTAAATTAAAGTTTAAGTTTCTTTCACACAATATAACACTAAAAAATATGTAATGTATTAGAACTACTTTAGTCAGCTAGGGTGACAGGTCAATCCCTTTTATTCTTAGGTATTAAATATTAGTTTTCAAATAAACTCACAATAAATTAATTTGTATTTATGAATTTTGTCGTTTGTAACCGTAATTACCATCGCAAATGCTTGCTCAAATTTCAGCAATATTGAAATAGGTAATGCTGGGTTTGACTGTTCAATTAATCAAAATCTAAATCAAAATTTATTTAATCATATTGATATTGATATTTCAAGGAAATTGATATACTTACCTTTCCCTCGCAATATATTTATGAAAATATTAGGTATGTATACAAAAATAGTGATAAGTTTACTAGAATAGAACATACGCACAATGTTAATACTTGGAACAAACGCAGGCTGCAATTTCCCCGTACTAGACTATCTAAAGTTAGTAATTCTTTTGTTGGGAAAAGGGATACTCTTCTTTAATAAAATCCCAGAGGCTCTTTTATCTCTGCCTTTTAGTCTTAAAAAATATACTCTTGCTTTGTTCATCGATTTTTCCCGCGCTTTTGACACTTTGTATCATAAACAACTTGAGGATAGATTTAATAATATAGGAATTCAGGGGCCACTAGGCACTTGCTGTTCAAATTATTTAAAAAATTATACTTATGTAGTGAAAATAAACAATACCCACAGCGAGGTGGTTTCAGTATCAGAAGGCACCGCCCAAGGCTCGGTCCTCGGGCCTCTTCATTTTTTGACTTACGTTAACCAACTGCATAACCAAGTAGATCACTCCACTTGTTACCAGTTCGCAGATGATACGTGTTTGTTAGTTGGAGATAGGGACCCTCATAAAGCTGTTGAAAGGTTACAATCAGATTTTAACAACATACTAAAGTGGTGCCACGATACTATTACTAAACTAGTACTTAATATTGAAAAAACAAAACTACTTATCATACAATCAAATTCCATCAAAGAAGCCATTGATATAGCACTGGTGGCTCACGATCACGCATGTCTCCACAAATCAACAGTTTGCAAGTGCCCTTCTATAGAAATAGTTGATAAACATAAATATCTCGGATTAATTATAGACAAAAACATGCATTGGAATCAACATGTTGAATACGTCTGCGATAAGCTACGTCAGTTTTTGGCACAAATAACAATAGTCAAATTTAAAACCAAACTTTCGCTATACAACGCGCTTTGCGAGTCAGTCATCAATTACGGTCTAAATAGTTACGGTATAACTTATCCAACGTATCTCAACCAAATATATAACCTCCAAATGCGAATCCTCAAACACGTTGTCTCGAGAAATGTGCTCGACTCATATAAAAATGAAGAAAGAGGAATTTTCAAACACTGCAAAATACTGCCCATAACAGAAAAAGTCAGAAAATGTCTTCTAGTCGACAACTTTTTTCGAGATGACATAAAAAAACGAGTGGAGCATGACGTACAGACTCCAGCGGTAACGCAAGTTCGGCTCTGTACATCGAGAGTACACAATGTATACGACGAGAGAACGTTGAGGTATTTGCTACCACGGATAATAAATGGTCTACCCAATCAGTTATTAGATTGCCTAACGCCAACCAACATAAACATTAAATTAAACAACTACATTTATATGCATTTGTCGCGCTCCTAAACAAGACTGCAATGGTTACATTAATATAAACCACAGCGGTTTTCTAATGTTTCATATTGTGATTGTATTATATTATTTTGTAAAAAAAAAAAAAAAGAGTACCGAAAGTTTTTTACACCGGCTTTTTCTCTCGGCCTACACCCTCTGTCTTCTTTGCCGATGAGAAGGTATGTCTACCTTTTCAAATTTAATAACGTGGAATAAGTGATACCTGTATCTTATATTCCATAATAAACATATTTTATTTATTTAACTATGTACACTTATGAAAGTCAATGTTTAAAAAGAGGATGATTTAAATTTACATGTACTACAAGTTCATAAACCAAGGGCTTAGAACGGGCGAGATACTCTCCATCACTCTTTTTAATCGCCATAAATAATATCACCACATACGTGGGTTCAAGCACGACAAGTCATTACAAGTAGCACCTGTTTACGATCACAACGACGTCCAGTAATCGTCCCTTTCGCACATATTATATAAAGGGGGACCACCCGACGCATTTGCTACCACAAGCAATAGTGCAGCGCACCGCGGCTGTGCGGTTGTGTGGTGGTGGTGGTGATACTATTATCAATGTACACAATAATATTAATAGAAAATATTATTTAATTTATTTAAGCTTCAATTAAACGGCTCTCGCTTCTTACAAGTCTGATTCTGTTCAAACGATATAAAATATAACGACATCTGACAACATAAATCATTAATTAGTTGCGTAGGTCAGTGTACCGATCAGTAATAAATAATAAGTTTTAAGGACGTCGATAAGAGCATTTAGTTTATTTTAAGAGTATAATAAACACTATCTTACATATTCAGACTTTTATCTATTCTTCCCTTATACTGACTAGTAATACCAATAACATTGATTATAAAAGCAACAAAAGATATTATGTGCTTTAATTTAGACTGTTCGTCTTCCTGAAAGCCTCCTCGCAATAACATACATTGGAAAGTAACGAAACTGTTTTTCAGAAGTGCGCAATGTTACATTTTTTCTGGCCAACAATTTTTTACTTTAAGTAGTCTGTTGATATCAGGCAAAAGCTGTTTTTAAAGTAATAAACAGCATATATTTGTTTACCTAATACTAATAATTAACAAAAGTAAAAAATAATCAAAAAAGATCCAAAAATAAATATATTTTAAATACCTACACTTAGTATAAGCAAAGTGCATTGAAACTAGAGTGTATAAGCTTTCACAACTTTAAGCTCACTTATTGCCTTAACTCAACAAAACTTTAATTTTAAACATCATACTTATTAAAGTTCAACCCTGTAAGCTTAGCGATACAATGAAGCTTGCAGCTTGCAATAGATTTGATTCTTACGTAATAAGTTTAGGACTTTTGCTTTTAGTTTTTTCTTCAGTCGCACTCTTCTTTTCTGAAGGCTAGTGTTAGTGGCGCCGCACAGCTTCCTCCACTCTCCCCTGTTTTGGAAAGCCTTTGGTACATTTGAATGGAATATTTACGTGTGTTCTAATTCGTAAAGCATGTCAAGACAATTAATCCCACTACGTTTTTTTTAATAGAACGGGGGGCAAACGGGCAGGAGGCTCAGCTGATGTTAAGTGATACCGCCGCCCATGGACACTCTCAATGCCAGAGGGCTCGGGAGTGCGTTGCCGGCCTTTTAAGAATTGGTACGCTCTTTTTTTGAAGGACCTTAAGTCGAATTGGTTCGGAAATACTTCAGCGGGCAGGTGATTCCACAAAGCGGTGGTGCGTGGCAAAAACTGCCTTGAAAAACGCACAGTTGTGGAACGGCGGACGTCGAGGTGATACGGGTGGAATTTCGTATTCTGCCTCGACGTCCGATGATGAAACTCAGCTGCAGGTATTAATCCGAACAACTCCTCTGAACATTCTCCATGGTTAATGCGGTAGAAGATGCAGACTTAACCTTTACCTTTAGAGAAAATTCGTTAGCGTTAGTTGAAACACACTACGAAAATGTGAATAAACTAAGTATATCACTTATTACTTGTTTCAGGTGCGTAATGCAACAGCCGTTTTTATAATGAACCTGTCCTGCTCTGATCTGCTGTTCTGCTGCTTTAACCTGCCCCTAGCAGCGTCTACGTTTTGGCAGCGCTCGTGGGCACATGGGCGGACCCTATGCCGGATGTTCCCTCTGGCCAGATACGCCTTGGTTGCAGTCTCACTATTTACAGTGCTTGCTATCACTATCAACAGATATGTTATGATCTCGCATCCTAGACTTTATCCCAAGTAAGTAAAAAAATATTCTCACTATTACTAGTAGCCTGAGAATTTAAAAAAAAAACAGTTCTACTCTTTATGATCTGTAAGAAGGCCGTGCATTATGCATGGTTAAAATTCCGATGTGTGGAACTAAAACATATTTATTTTTGTTATAGGTTATATAAAAAACAATATCTGGCCTTGATGGTAGCAGGAACATGGCTTTTCTCATTCGGGGCTCTTATCGCGACGTGGCTCGAAAAATGGGGTCGTTTCGGTCTAGATCCATCCATTGGATCGTGTTCAATTCTTCCAGATCACAATAATCGTTCTCCCAAAGAATTTCTTTTCGTTGGCGCGTTCATGCTTCCCTGCTTAGCTATAGTTATTTGCTATGCACGTATATTTTGCATTGTTAGAGAAGCTGCTAGACGCTCCAGAGCGCCTTTCAAGGGGAGACCGCGTCCTGGTTTAGAAGATTCCGCAGTCGGTTCCGCATCCACTGCGCTAGAACGCTCGCCAGGCCCGGAAAATGGTGTCAATCACAGTAGTGTACCTAGGAAGGCACTTCTAGCACCACCCATACTTCATTGTCCAGTCACCCCAGGTCCCGAACGGTCGTCATCTTCCGGGGTGGACACTCTGGATGGTCATGATGATGAATGCGCTCTAGATGCAAAGCCCCGAACTCCAAGTGGCGGAGAGACTGCTAAGCGCCTCCGACAAGCAGCGGTCGTTCTAAAGCGATCACCAGCACCCATTAGGGCTCCCCGTTTGACTCCAAAGGACAGAAAATTACTAAAAATGATAATGGCAATCATGTTATCGTTCTGGGTGTGCTATCTGCCAATAACGTTGACAAAGATATTCCGCGAGTTCACGTCACACCCCGCGGCGAACATCGCGGGCTACATACTCATATACCTGACGACGTGTATCAATCCTATTATATATGTGGTGATGTCGAGCGAATACCGGCAAGCTTACAAGAACCTATTAATGTGTAAGCGAAGGGCGTGACGTTCGCCCGGCGACGGCGTCTCGGAGAAACGCCCGCCGTAAATTCTTAAGAACAATTTGACAAATAATACAAATGCTCGGAAACTATATATAATACCTTTTGTTTAAACGTATGAACTATTTATGTGAGAATGTTTTTATTAAATTGTAATTGCGAGCCGTCCGTGATTGTGCTAACAGATGATGAGTGCAATGTTAACTACAAAAATTATAAAATCGAATAGTAGTCTAAAATAGTTCTATTCTACTTACATAATTATGTGTTTAACATCCCGATAAAAGCGATAAGGAACTGTAAAGATACGAGAAATTGTTATTAATGTAAATGAATGATAGAATGTTATTGTTCCTAGCGGGGCGTACGAAATACTCCTTTTTATTCTTATACGATTAATTCGTGTTTAACATTCCTATATGTATCGGTGTCGACGTGTCAGTATTGATGTTATAAAGTACGTAGTGAGCAATAAATTTTGTATGATAATATATGTAATTCAGGGCTGAACTGAAACGGGCAAACCCGTCGCAGTCGAACTGACTCATTAAGGAAACGTTCTAGGAAAGATCACCGCAATGATGTTTATAAACTCATTTGTAATGGAATAATTGTGGATGAATGACGTGCGTACATTATGGCTGTTGGAATAGGGAATGTGTTGTTTAGAAATGTAAGTGCCAATGTGACGGAGTTGTATCTGGACGAAGTTCACCTCTTCAAGGATTACCCTGAAGGCTTGTTGCGGTTCGCTACGGCCTGCTGCTTCATTTTTATGATCATCGGGATCCCGGGAAACCTCATTACAATCATCGCACTCTCGAGATACGAAAAGGTAAGTTTATTTTTATTTGCTAATTAAATTTTCTCTTTGTCGTTAAAGTTATCTTCTCTCGATAATATTATTCAATTGATAAAACATTAAACAAAAAACTTAAAAGAAATTTATATATTTAAACAAACAAACATTTTTTTTTTAATCCGATGACACGTAGAGCGGTGTCAATCTGACTCAACGCCTTAGCTCTTACGTCAATAAAAATGTGTGTTAGACTAATATTCTTATCAAAAGGTTCCTTAATTAAACACTATTTCAATATTAAGCAACATTTTACAAACTCTTAAGAGATACTTTAGAATAGAGATTCTATTGCCTTACTCAATGGAGTACGTTTATTGACAAGTTAAAGGCCGATTTCTTATCACAAAAATACGTTATGGTCGCGACGACAATTGGCATCATTTAGTTTTTAGATAACATTCTAATTATTACCAATTACGATAAACTACTTCCGTTTAACATAATTATATAGAATTATTAATTACTCTGAATTACCTCTTAAACCCGTTACCATTACTTGTGTTATAGTTTAATCATTTAGTTAATAAAAGCTAAACAACCTCAAAGCTGGAAATGTATAATTCATAAACATAGTTTTTAATAATAAATAAGTACAACAATGTTATTAAAATGTAGAGGTACCAGAACTTGGGATGTATAACATCGCCCACATAAAATAAAATTAACGCGATCGGAAATCACGTTAAATTGTGTTTCAAAGTTTCACCTTCGCTACATTTTAGCAATACATTTCGGCATCACTGAATATTGAAAACGTAATTAACTGCTCTGACAATGCATATCGGCAATTAACTCGTTATTAAACTCGTTGATATCAAATAAACACATTCAGAGTGATTTAAATTAATGTATAACATAAATAGCCGCTTATACATCATTGTCTAATTCCTCTTTATTTTTCTGGCATGTTCTAGCATAATAAAACTAATACAGGTTAGTTTACGCAAATATACAAGTATATGACGCTCAAGGTTTTTACCGACTCATAGCGTAAACATTTTATTTATCAAAGTCCAGTGTCCACCGTACTGAGCCCAAACAAGTTGTTTATCCTGCTATTAGTCAGAGTTGTATAATAATGCCATTATAATAAGTTGGAATAAAGCCCTTAAATGCTTGGTTTAACACTAGTGAATATTACTATGTAATCGATCTATAGTGAGATTTAATTAGTCGATACTACGCGACATTTCATATCAGATTCTGAGTATAATATTTTGTCTCAATAGTAGCCCCAATTTAAGAAATATCGTTAGGTGTATGTCAGTTTTATCCATTACATTAACTTTCTAATCAGTTTTTAATAAATATTACAAGTTAGTATTGTTACATTTAAGACAGGACACCTTTAACGCGTACACTGCTGCTTACGGAGATCGATTACGAAGTTTCTTTTAAGATTCTTTATTATATTTCTATGTTAAAGTAAATTATATCATTAAATTTTTAAAATTGATATGGCATGTTGTAAAGTACGTCAAACAATAAGTATTTACCTCAGTTAAATCCCCAATGAAACAATTACAGCAAATGGGACTGAATCCCCAACCGCAAGGACGCAATGTCCTACGTTGACGTGCGTAAGACGTATCGCCTTGAAGAAATTAGGGTTATACTCGTACATGCATGTGATGCATAAACAAAACTTAATATTTATGTCATAATAGTGTGGTGTTTGAATGCAACATTTCGCTACTTACTGCGAACTAATTATTGTCAAATTCAAAGTCAAAAATCATTTATTCATATAGGTAACACAATGTACACTTATGGAAGTCAAAAAAAGAAATATACATTAAATGCTTCTAATTTTACATTTACTGCCAGTTCTCAAATCAAGGGCGTGGAACGGAAGAGAAGAACTGGCAATAAACTCTTCGCCACTCTTTTTGCACTGACATAATCAAATACTCTTACTCGGGTGTGGTGAAGGTGTGTCTTATCTTATCAAACATAACTATTTTGCGAAATGGGATTACTGTATCAAGCACACTTTCTTATCATATTTTATTAAGGTGCCGTCATTTAATGAAACGAACAGTGTGATGTATTTTAATCACTTAACGTCTGCTTATAATGGTTGACAATGTTTAAGTTGTAAGATTACATTTCGCCTTGACACCTGACATGTTAATATTTGGCGATAAATACTTCATTATATACAATTTCAATCACTTTCAGGTCCGCAATGCGACCGCGATTTTCATCATCAACCTTTCATTTTCGGACCTATTATTTTGCTGCTTCAACCTGCCCTTGACGGCATCCACCCTTCTCCACCGGTCCTGGGTCCATGGAGAGCTCCTTTGCAGACTGTTTCCTCTGATGAGATATGGTCTGGTGGCAGCTTCCTTGTTCACTGTTACTGCTATCACTATTAATCGCTATGTCATCATCGCCCATCCAAGACTTTATCCGAAGTAAGTTTTATAAAATTAAGTATTGAGGTGTGATGTTTTCCATTGCAATGCATTACAAATCATTATTTTTAACTAATATTTCATTTTTCAAATGTATCAATACTTTTTAGCTGTCACAAGTAATTGGAATAAACTCTAGATTGTCATTCATAATGTTACTAGCTGACCCCGCGAACTTCGTACCGCCTAACGTTTTATAGATTAGCGGAACTTAATAATTTATGGTAACACAATACAAAATAAATATTAAGTTCATTATTTACTAAGAAATTGACACAAAAAGCAATAAGCGTCTGAACGAATTTTTTTTTTCATTACATTATTCTAAATTTTAAAATCTAAAATACGCCATTATCCGAATATTGTAGAAGTATCTCGTAGTTTCGAAACCTTTGTTTAATAATGTAAAAAACATCAGGATGAACTTTAAATGTTTCACAGTTACAAAACCTATGAACATATTGTATTGTATTTATTTTTTCCTCAATTTTCCAATGTTTTTAATAGTTATTCTGCTAATATCGGTCCAGCCTTTCTCGAGTCAAACCCGACTTTTTTATATATTAAGATTAGTATTAGACTTTAAAGCAAACATTTAATTACAGAGCATACAAAACGAGGAACATCTGCCTGATGCTGCTTACAATATGGTTAATTTCTTTCGGATGTTTGGTGGCGACTTGGCTCAACAAATGGGGCAGCTTTGGGCTCGACGCTAGTATCGGATCTTGCTCCATCATCCAAGACAAAAACGGTCGAACACCGAAAAAGACACTCTTTATCGTAGCGTTTACTATACCTTGTGTTGCAATAATTTTCTGTTACACGCGAATATTCTTCATAGTTAGGAAATCCTCTAAAAATTCTAAAACAGTAAATACATCCAAACAAGAACAACCTTCGTGCGACGAACTCTCGTCCGTCGTATCGTCTGACTCGATGTCCATAAAGTTCTCCGGCCCCGAAATAAGTATCAGTGAAAACACAGAGTCCTTTACCTCTGATCCACCTAAAAGTACACAGCGCACATTCCAAATCGAAACTAGAGATGAAATAAAAAGAAAAGACCATAGGCTTCGAAGGACAGCATTAAGAAAATCTATGGCGATGCTCAGATTGTCTCTGCCCACGCGGAAAGACAGAAGATTAGGGACTATGATAATCGCTATCATGATTTCATTCTGCATGTGCCACCTCCCTATAACCATAACAAAGCTGTTGCGGGAGATAAATCCCAAGCCGGCGTTTAATATAGCATCTTATCTCCTCCTATATCTGGCTTCTTGTATCAATCCAGTGATTTACGTAGTAATGTCGAACGAGTATAGGAAAGCATATAAAAACCTTTTCAAATGCAAGCGAAAGTCTTGATGAAAGTCGAATGGTAATTAATTAATGGACTGAATGTTTTAGAGAAAATACTCATTTAGGTCTTAAGTGTGTGTTATTGGTGTGAGACAATGAAGCAATTATTGTAAAGATTAATGTTTTCATGTTTACGGTAGTAATTGTGTATATTACATAATTACACATATTTAGTAATAAGTATTGTTAAACGGGCCCAAGGAGTTACATGTATTGACATTCCGTGACAAATTGTCAAAAAGTATACGAATAGACTCGAATAAAAGATATCACTGATGAAGTGGTGAGTTAAGCGAATGTCTTAATATTTATGTACACCCTTTTATATGTTCATAATACAGATTGCAGGTGCCGAAG